TTCTATTTATTATAAGTTGGTTATTTACTTGCTTGCTTGCTTTTGGTTGTACAATGTCAAGAAAATCCTTATTCACATGGTAGTTTAAATGATAAAAAGAAGAGTCTTGCAATCTAAGAAATCTTGTCAGAATCTAGAAATGGTAAGAGAAGCCTGAAAAGCAAAATGCATTAACTTGACAACATAAATCAGGTGATCTTTAGTATATTAATTTGGCATACATGATAACAATAAATGTAAATTAAGCATTTGAAAAAATCTTTTATCAGTCAAGATAGGCTAAGTTTATGCTATGCTGCTACCTGAACACCCAAACCTCAAAGGTTTGCTGTAGTAAGTGTTTATCTTATTTTTATGTCTTGCTCATATTACATGTCCAATTCTGATTATGGTTAAGGGGTGGGGCTATGATCCACATAGCTTCTCAGGGATCCAGGCTGTTGGAGATGGCTCCCCAGTCTCATAGCTGTACTATCTGGCACAGGTATTATCATTGGTTGCTAAGGCAAGGGCAGAGGATCTGGAGTGCAAAACATTGGCTGTTTTATACAGAGGCCGTTCTTCACATGTGAGTGTAAAACACATTTGTCAGTTCTGCTCAGTGTTTGCTGAAACTAGTCTCCGGACCCTATTTCGGAAGTTAATGTGTGAGTCACATGGACTAAATATGCAAAAGCACTTGGAAGAACTATAAAGGAGCAGATTGCAAACATGTTTCAAAATAGAAAAATGCAGGTTCCTGAACCCACCCTACACCCCTGGAATCAGGATCTCTGAGGTATAGTTGGGAAATTTGCATTTTTAAAAAACATGCCACAGCTGATTCTCATTATCAATAGGAAGTGGCTGCTATGAATAAGGATTGTTTTCAAAACGGAGGAAAAGCAACAGTTAGATCTGTGGATTTAAGAATTTCCTGGCTGTAGTGTTGAAGATGGATTAAAGAGAGAAGAAACTAGAAGCAGGGAGATTTCGTGTCACACACATACAGTGCTCAATGAGCAGATATAAATGCATGGGCCTATATATCATACAGTGTGTTAGCAGGACCAGCTCAGTCTAAGAGTCTAACAGTGTTGTTGTAAATTTCTCTGTATATTTCCAGAATCTTCTCCCCACCCCCCCGAGGTACATGCCCTTGACCAGAATCACCAAGGACCCTTCAGTCTTCCTGGCTGATGCTCTATCCACTAAGTTAAACTGGCTAGGGCTACAGTATGTTATTTAAAACACAAAAAAACTAATAATTCCACTCTATATACTAGAAGGAAATGAAAACATATCCACAAAAAATTTTGTACATAGATATTCACAGCAACATCCTATATAATAAAAAGCTAATATGCAAATTGACCGAACAGCAGAACGACTGGTCGTTGTGACGTGCACTGGCCACCAGGGGGCAGATGCTCAACGCAGGAGCTGCCCCCTGGTGGTTAGTGCGCTCCCACAGCCAATCTCCCGCAGCAGGCCAACCTCCCACAGTCCCTCCCGCTGCCCCCAGCCGGCTGGCCAACCTCCGCGGTCCCGACACCCACCTCCCAGCCGGCCAACCTCCCACAGTCCCGATCTGGACTGGGCAAGATGGCCCCGATTGGCCCTGATCGCCGGAGAGGCCGAGGGACCCCAACCATGCATGAGTTCATGCACCGGGCCTCTAGTTATTCATAATAGTCAAAAAATGGGAACAATCCAAATGTCCATCAACTTATGAATGAATAAATAAAATGTTTTATATAACTCGACAATGGAATATTATTTGGCAATAGAAAGAAATGAAGTGCTAATACATGCTACATCAATGAGCTGTATCAATTAGGCTAAGTGAAAGAAGCCAGACACTGAAGACCAGATACTGTATGATTCCATTTATTTGAAATGTCTATTAAAGGCAGATCCATAGAGACAGAAAGTGGATTAGTGGTTGCCTACATGTAGGGGTGAGAATGGGGAGTGACTGCAAATAGGTAACAGACTTCTTTTCTGGGTGATAGAAATGTTCAAAAATTAGATTTTGGTGATGGTTTAACAACTGTAAATATACTAACAACCGTAGAATTATATACTTTTAACAGGTGAATGATATGCTTTTTAAATCACATGTTAATAATAGTATTTTTAAAATGATGCAAAGAGTTACTGGTAGAGTCAGGCATGATATATAAGGAAACTTTAAGGATGGGGAGGGGTTGATGTGAATGAAGTAGGGAGGATAAGGAGAAAGGAACCAGAGTGGAGAGCGAGAAAAAAAATATACAAAATAAAGGAATAATAAGGCTGGCAAGTTATAGACCACAAACACCAGACTCAGATAAGTGTTAATTTGGAGAAGGAAAGGCATTTACAGGAGTAAGGATTCCTTCCTTCTGAGGCAAAATATGGAGATGAACTTGTAGACGGCAGAGAAAAAGGGAAGAAAAATGAGTGTTCATAACCGATGGCCTGTGGTTTTCCGAGTCAGGAAGAAGTAATGAGCTTGAGTGATGAATTTGTCAATTTCAGAATGGTGATGGTTCAGACAACAAATGTAAAGAATATAAAAGCAAGCTGAATATGTGAGTAAAATGATCTTTTAAGCCATTACGGCTTAGCCTAGTTTAAGTAAAAAATAGTAAAGTACTCAATCATCTAGGTTATACATTATTTTTCTCTAGCCGCTCTAGATTTCCATGAAACAAGCAGAAACACATGAATTAACTGCCTGTGAAACTGGGTTTGAACAGGTTCCTGCTAAGGTTGGATGTAAAAGTGCCAATTTAATCAGGTATAAAATACCCGAAACACTTTTGAATATGGCTATCACAAACTAAACAACTTTCAAGAAGTAAAACATGCCGAGGCCGGTTTGGCTCAGTGGATGGAGCGTCGGCCTGTGGACTGGGGGGTCCCGGGTTCGATTCCGGTCAAGGGCATGTGCCTGGGTTGCGGGCACATCCCCGGTGGGAGATGTGCAGGAGGCAGCTGATCGATGTTTCTCTCTCATCGATGTTTCTGGCTCTCTGTCTCTCTCCCTTCCTCTCTGTGGAAAGTCAATAAAATATATTTAAAAAAGAAAAAGAAAAAAGTAAAACATTGTCCAGCCAGTGTGCTCAGTGGTTGAGCTTCTCGACCAAGGAGCCAGGAGGCCATGGTGTGATTCTAGGGTCGATCCCCAGTAGGAGGCATGCAGAAGGCAGCAATCAATGATTCTCTTTTATCACTGATGTTTCTCTCTCTCTCTCCCCCTCTCCCTTCCTCTCTGAAATAAAAACATTTTTTTTTTAAAAGACATAAAACATTTCAATTTAGTTCATCAGGATTACATTGAATTCATAGAAATTTGATGTTGAAAGCTTACTGAGCCTCTCTGAGATCTCAGGGGTGGTGCTGAGCATGGTAATGTCTCCTTATGGAATGGAAATTTCAGAGAAAAAACAGGAGCTACTTACCATTCTACCCAATGGGTTCAAAGGAAGTACAGAGGGAAGTCTGGAGCAGTGCTTTCCCAAGCAGCCCGTCTGAACGCATGGGTATGCATCCTCCTGGGTCCTTTCTTACCAACGCTGTGAATTCCATTCTGAGGTGCAGTCCAAACATGTTATATTTTTAACCACATCTATAATGATAAAAGCATAATGTGCTAATTAGACCGACATCCTTCCAGATAATCTTCCTAACGAAACTGGGGCTATGAGAGCTGAACCCCTTGCATGAATTTCCTGCATCGGGCCTTCAGTATACTATAAAAGTGGTGTGGCCCTGACCGGTTTGGCTCGGTGGATAGAACGTCAGCCTGCGGACTGAAGGGTCTCGGGTTCGATTCTGGTCAAGGGCATGTACCTTGGTTGCAGGCACATCCCCAGTAGGGAGTGTGCAGGAGGCAGCTGATTGATGTTTCTCTCTCATCGCTGTTTCTAACTCTCTATCCCTCACCCTTCCTGTCTGTAAAAAATCATAAAATATATTTTTTAAAAAAGTAGTGTGATGTTAGAATGGGAACTTTTGTCCAACTTAGTAAGAATTTCAACTGAAAACAGTGATGGAGGGGAAAATATCAAACAGTTTATAAAAAGGGGTAAGGGGAAGTCGTTTAATGGTTCAGCAAAAAAAGATTTCAGAAAACCTGCAAGAGGTATAAACAGACCTGAGCGGGAGAGAAGAACCAGATCTCACAGGAAACCAAATCGAATAGGAAATGCCTGTCAAAGGCCACTGCTCTTTCTCCGCCTGGAGGGGGAAAAGGTTGAACACCAAAACCATGAATTACCTCCTAGCCTTACAGGACCAGATTCCTGGGATGTCAAACTCGAGCAACAGGTCTCCGTGCCCCGACGAACTTTAAACGTGACTGTTTGTGCTTTATTTTTTACGAAGATGGTCTCGCCATGCTTCCCACGTACCCATTTTCTCTCTCGGGGTTGGTTTTCATTAACGATGACTGCATCTTTACCTTCACACTAACTTTCCCAGCCTCCTCCTCGCCATCCCGCCCCTAAAACGGACAGAAGTTTCCTGTGGACGGTGCGCCTCCGCCAGCGCACGGACTCCCCACGGGGACACTTCCCGACGCGACTGTAGGCCCCGGACGTGC